CAAACTCAACTGGTTCTTTTCCTTGGCTTCGACGAATGCGTGAGTTCGTCACTGACCCGCACAGTGCAGCGTCAAGGTCCGCATACCGGACAAGGCCGGGCAAATCATTCGCTCAGTAGTGTGGGTTGCATAGTTTTTTCCGATGACGGTCTCGTGATTGGCAGTGTGATTACACGGATAGGGAACAAGTCAGGGCAGGCCCAGCAAACTGGATACTCACGTGCATGGGTGGGAAAGTCAGCCGCGCACTTTTACAGACACATGCTTTGCTGCAAGGTGAGCGGCGGTTACAGATGGGTGAAACAAATGGAGATCAGAAGAAATGAGCAGAATAAGCAAATAAATGGGGGACTTACCATGACGCCAAGTTAGCTTCAATACAGTCGAACTCGAGACGACCCAGAACATAAAGGGCAGCCTCACGACCGGAAGACCAGTCGTTTTAACTTATTCATAATAACTGCACTATTCCTGTCTGTGCTTGGTTTGCGTAAAATGCTGTCTGCTTTTGGTAGTGTTGAATCCCTTGTGCCTCATATGGGAGCAGGTTTGTTTTCCCAGAGCATGTAACAACCATCGGCCATTGTCACCCAGGAGTCGACAACCCCCCTGGACTACGCAACGTGTGACAGGACCGAGAATCTCCCTCAGTTGGATACTATCATCAAAGTATTCACAGGCGACACGGGGTGTAACCTTAATTACTTCAGTCACCAAGTCGTTCATCTCTTTTTCCACATTCAAACCGGGAAAATAATGGACCGTATATTTCATCTAGTTCCTGCCTTTAGCCTTCAGATGGCTTGCGATGTTCACTTCATCCAGTATGGTGCAGCTTCTGGACACTGCCATCATTACTCTCCTCATTGTATGTGTTTGTATCTAAGGCTTTTCTGTGTTTCTCTAGCGTTCCAAGGTGGAACCGGGCTCAGTTTGGTGTTTTATTGCCCTCCATGTTGATTTATTCAGTAAACAGTACAATTAGTCTGAATTTCTTGCGCTGAACAGATGAGGAATTGAACGAAAAGTGGTTAGTACCTGTTCCGGCCACATAGCTGCAGAATACTTGTGGTAGGACATTGCTTCGGTTTCTGCTTTAACCGTCAGTGACATGTTGGATTGGCTTTCAGATAACGGATGTACCGTTCATTTTGCACCAGTTTCTTACAATTACCTACCGAGTATGAACGACAGTGCACTGTTCGTTTATGCACGTACTACTTAACTATTAGATTTCTATGGTCTGCGTTGCTATAGTCGCACCATTTCCTTGCCAAATACACTATGTTCACCACAACTGACCTTTAGGTATTAATAATTAAAGTCATGAAGTCTAAGATGATTATTACTTATATAATTAGATGATATCGCACTGTAATTCCGCTCAACAAGCTATAGGCTTTTGAATGTTGCTAGCTGGGGGATTTGTATAAACCACGTTCACATCCCTCTCCTTTGAACAGTCGTCATCCTGCCCTGACACAATTATTCTGGTGGGTCCACATCGAAGAAAGGAGGCACTGGACCAGGTTTCGTTCTCATTAGAGCTCATTAGCAGTGAATGCCCTCGGCTGTGCCGAGGTTTGAATTCCCGCTCTCATTTATCTGGTCGAAATTAACTGGGGAACCAGGCGATGTCTCATGCGATATGGCATCAAAATTTGGTCTTGTGATAAGACACCTGACCAACGTATATCCTCTGGTTGTATTAGCCCATATTTTATAATCACTTTGCAATCTTACTGATTCCATAAGCTGTGAATACATGGCGTAGAGACAATGTCCGATAATGGGGATACTGTTTGGTGCAGGTATTCACTGTAGGCTGTAGATGACAAACATCGTATTTGTCGTATGGTGCTGCAGTCAATCGATCTATGGTGATAACCTAGTACGATTTAGTTTAAATAACCGTCATCTACACTAACTAGTGAGCCATTTATGGTTGAACAAATCATATATAGACCACCACTGGGAAAGAGCGACCATCTCGTGCTCTTGTTCGATTTCACTTGCTCCTCCGTACGTTTAAGCGACCCACATAAATATGTTCTGAAGACCAATTTTCGGGAGATAATCTCAGCCTTCCAGGACCTAAATATGCTGGATGACGAACACGAAAAT